TCCTCAGTTGCACAAAATTAATTTTAATTCTGAGGAATTAGTGGGCAACACATTTTGTTTCTGTACCCTCCCTTAATTTGAAGGGAAAACAAAACACAAGTTTACAGTTCCAGTTTGAAGAGCCATTTCTATTTTACTCTAATTACTGCTGTATTTCATTAGAACTACCATGATCCAGGATTAAGTATGCTACAAGAAAATGCATTTGGTAAATCCTCAGTTCATGCATCCTCTCCTTGACTCTTTCACACATTGCTGTGTCTATTACAGACCTGGATTCCTCTGCCAATCTCTTTGTTAGCAGTTCTGCAAAATTGTACCACTAATCTAAAGATGTAATTAAAATACTTCATCTTAGCACTTCCCACACTGTGGCAGCTGCAAAACACAAATGTTGACTGGGCTGCATTTTTTGGAGCCTGAATGGAGACTAATGGAAAATATTGATAATGTAAACATTCAGCAGACCTTTCAAAAAGTTATGATCATCCTTCCTAACAATACAATACTTGGCATGTCACACGTTTAGCCAGGACCTGTATCCAGTCATCAGTCAGTCTGTAAACACAGCACCCCTGGGTAGAGCAGGGATGAGACAGAAATCATCTTGTGAAGATAAAACCTCTAACTCCTGCTTTGGTTTTACAACCAGAGCACAACAAAAAGTCATCTTAGAGTTGGTAAAGCATTCCCTGACAGGCATTTGTCATGCAGTGTTTGCTCATGGTTTTTGAAAGTCCTTTAATTCTAAAGCAGCTTTCCCAAAGCCACAGAAGTGATAGCCGGAGTTCTAAAACTTTTCTGATGTCCAGAGTTCAGGATTTAGAGTGGTCAATTAAACCAGAGTTTGGGTATGAAACATAACCAACTTTTATAAGTAATAATGAGTTACTAATTTATTTTTCCATCGTAATTTTTTATGTTGATAAGAAATTATCTAAATCATACCAAGTATCACTATTAATTCTGTAGAATTTGAAAAATACATACATTTTTAAGGACTTAATTGTGCAGTAACTAAAATTTCTTGTGTTATCTAACAGATGTAATTTTGACTAAAAATTACAAGAAACACAAATAGTTACAATTAACCATTGCTTGAACCACTTGACCTAAAATTGTAAACATTTTCATATCCCTTTTTTCTTGAAGCAGTTATGTACTTTACAGATTAAGACATTTTATTACTCTTATTAACAAAAAATATCCAAGCATTTGATCAAAAGGACTATGTGCTGGTATTTTTATGCATGGGTTTTCAAAATGCTGAGTTTTGTGAAGGAATACATTTCTCCAGGAATGATCTACTGCTTCAGTAGTTCTGGGAAGAGAAACATTAAATCTATTTTGAGCCTTAATTTAATAAAATATAATAAATATTTTCAGTTTTGATGAGTATTTTGTTAAGATTTGGAGTGTGATCTCTACAGGAATATAAATTTTAAGTTTTTTAGTTGAAGATGTAAGCTGCTATTATTTTTTAGTTAATAATTTGAAAATTGTGTAGCATGAGAACACTGATAAGCATAGACTTCTATTTAAGGACAAGATTAAAGAAGTAATTATAAAAATGTCCACTAAAGACCAGCTCAGTTTCCTGTTTTCCAGGTTGCCATGCTTTGATTGTCCAATTATTATTTAAATTCAGATTAGTGTTTACTCTTGTTCATTATTTGAGTAAGGACAGAGTTCATGTTTTCTGATGGCAGTATCAAATTAGGAGAGGAGTTAAGGAAAGACGGATGGGAAAACACATTTACTTTCTTTGGTTTGCAAGGCCCTTGCCCTTACATTTTCTAATTCATTTGTGCTTGGTTCATATGTGTTTCCAAAACTCTAGACATCTACACAAAATTAAGCTTTATAAGGTTTGTTAATATCTGCCACCCTTCTTGAAAAAGTGCAGACTGCCTCACAACTGACCTTCCTGGCTGAGAATTGACAAGCCAAACATTGACTGCAGAGCTGTTTCACCTGAAGGAGGAATCAAAAAGGAGGAATTAAATTTTAATAATTTAAAAAAACCTCATAATTATTAATTTTTAATTATACACTAAATATACAGACATGGAAAATGATAATGTCTGAAGTTCAGGAGCTGTTCTGGGAATTTCATCTCCATATTTCTCTTTATTATAAAAGATGAGAAAGCAATTTACTTATGCTTGTGAGGTACCCAGCATGCCAGTTCATCTCCCTAATGTGAACAGCAGTGAAAGAGCTGCTTGTTTTGTCTCAGGGGCCATCTTTAGCTTTATTTTTAAAACAAAGCAAGATTTATTAGTGAAAGGTTTCTGCTCCTGATTATGTTTAATTTTTTTATTGCTGTTTTTTGTACCATCTTCATCAGAATCCCTGCTGGCCTATCATATTATGTCTATACATTTAATTTGTCAGGATTTCTCTTTTCCTTACTTGGACATATTTTCTACTCTGAGAAACATTTTGCATCCAGTAGACATCCTGACTCTTTTTGTTAAAACTGACAGGCTTTAGGAAGAGGGAGGTTTTAGCTGTGATTAGATGTGTTCATGCAAGATTTTATGCATTTATGTTCTTTACTTAACATGAAAAAAGTTATAACTGCCTCTGGTACCTTGTGATAATGCTGTCAAGAAGCATGTAGATTTTATTTAAAGCTTTTTTATTATTTTTTTCTTTCCATTTTTCTTTATGAAAATTAAAATCTGACAAGGGTGATGTAATAACATTATTTTTCTCTGACTTGGTAAATATCTTGTGAGTAATATAGATGAGTTTTTTGACATATTTCACTTTAAACTGTCTGGTCCCCTTGTCTGGACAAAATCTGCAGCTTTTTCTCCTCTGTGTTTTCTGTCTGTTTTGATGTCTCTGAAAAACTCCAAAACAAGCTACTGTTGCATAACTCCCTGCTAAGAGGCAATTTCTGCAGGAATGAAATTTGTGTTTTCCTGTGTCTGCTGTGTAAGCAGCCTGTCCCCTGCCTCATCTCCCCTGGCATTTCATCATCACATCTGCACTCCAAGTCATGTTCTTGGGTGTCTTACAGAGACCAAGCACTTACCAGGAGCTGTCATCTCTAACTATTCACTGGAAAACAGACCAAGCATGGGAAATACAGAAAGGGCTGCCCTAAAATGTTTCTGAATCTACTCAACAGAGCAGTGATTCTGGAAATGAAGATCTGTGTCCAGGTTGTTTTCAGAATGAGTGTTTGAATATTTATCTCAGTCATTTTTTGATGAGTGCTTTACTCGGCTGCTCAGTCTAGATCCGTCACTCCTTTGTGATCCCATGTCTGCTGTCTGTGCGTAGTAGGTGTGCTCTAGGCGTTCACAGCTGAGCACTCCTTGTGGGAAACAAAGATGTGGAAATTCAAGGTTTATCTGGCACATGGATGGGAGCTCAGGCCCAGCAGGATTAGTGCTGATGGCCCAGGGCTATAAACTCAGCAGCCAGCTTTAGGCACCACAAAAAGAGGTTTTTAGCATAAGCTCGATGTCAAGACTGGGAGACTGGAAATGTAGTTTCAGACATTCAGTATTTTTGCCCGCCTTGCTGTTACCTAAAGGAAAAGCTGGGCTCAATCTTCTGATGCACCCAATTCTACCTGCACTGCTAAATATCAGTTAGTTTTTTTTGGAGGCAAGTGTAGCTTTTTGGTTTCTGTTTTCTGCACTCTCACTGTTTGTTTCTATAAACTGGTGGCGTGACCTTTTTTCACGAGAGCATTTTGAATATAGTTCAACCTTTCATGAGAACATTTTGCAAAAGAAGGCTATTTTTATACAAAATGACATTGGCCCGGTGTGCCACCCACAGGATAGCGCTTGCCCAGGAAATGCAGAACATTTCCGCAGAGATATGACTTGCCATAAAATATTAAATTTCTTTGTGGGTATTTTCTTTGAAAAGTGTTATTTCTGGTGTGACAGTCCATGAATAAACAGATTTGAACAGCTTTTCTTTGTGATGCTGTTAGCTTTTCATTCTTCAGGTTTTATCAACAGAAAATGTGTTCCCTCTAAGCATGTACGAGACTTGCCCTGCTGTACGGTGTCAAGGTGCTGTGGATTAATTTTTGACTGTCCCATAGTATTTCTACTTTCAATTTCCTGTGTTCTCCTTCTGTCCAGAGAGTGATAGAATTGTACTCAGCAACACAAATAAAGACTAAAAGGAGAATGCCTCACCAGAAAATACAAAGCAAGGAATCCCTGAAGAATTGTGATGGAGAAGCTTTAGTTTGGGACTGGCCTAAGATTGTTTTATAGTGCTCAGCCACTGTCTTTACCAGGACTGGGGATTTTCTTTGGGTCCTACAGCACTGCTGTGAACCAAAGCATTAGACAAGGTCTGCAGTGCCTGTGACAGAAACTGAGATAAGAGATACACAGTATTTTCAATAGAGGAACTTAATAGAGGAACTTAATTATGTTACTGCAAAATCTTAAAATGTTCAGTTTATGGGATATGAAAAATGTGAAAACAGTGATAAAAATTATTATTTTTCATATTTTCATTTCAAGGCTTTTAGAACTCCTTCCTAGTCTTGTAACACTCTGCTAGAATGCAAATTCAGTTCTAGTCATAAACCTTAATAAAATGGGTAGCTTGTCAGTTTTATTTGATTAGAGATTGGAAAAGGGAGTACTTTTAATAGGAAGAATGGATTTTCATTCTGATTTGGAATTTACTTCTATCACTATTACTATATCTCTACAAGTCAAATTATTTATTTTTTTTCTAGTGACAAATGCTATCATTATTCCATGGTTATTATAATATTTATAATAGCATGTAAATGTGTTTGAAATTGAATATCAATATGCAGGTCCCTGTGTATAAATTAAGTATTACTACAGAATAATTGTTCTGTAAGAATGCTGTTAATAATCCATATTCATTCCTAGCCATATTTCCCGAGCCATGCCACATGGTGGCCTAGGCATTAGATGAGAGCTGAATTCTGTTCAGATGCTGTAAAAGACACAAGAGGCTCCTGTGCTTTTCTGCAGGTACCCAGAGCCATTCACCGCACGCTTCCTGGCGGGCAGCGATCCCGATTTCCTTGTGATGCCTCAAGCTGGAGAGCTCCTCCCAGCAGGCACGGTGGGAACCCATATAACAGTGGGATACAAGCCAAGGATGTATGGCAGGAAGCACACAGCGACGCTGGTCATCGAGGTAAGGCAATCCTCACCTTCAGCAGCGCCAGCAGGAAGGGAAATCCTGCACCAGAGAGCAGCACTGGAGCACACCCAGTGCATGTTTTTGCTGCTCCTCACAATGGACAAAACTGAATTTGGAGAATTGACTGATGACAAGCTGGAAAAACATCCTGTCTTTTTACCCTGTATTTTACACTGCATTATAATTTCTACATTATCCTTTTGCCATCAGCACCAGAGGCAGACAGTTAATCTTGATACATTTGCCCCAACTCCGTAGGCAACATGACTTTCACAGAGAATCAAAATAATCCTGTTAAGAACTGGTGGAGAATATAAAAGTAATTGAAGATGTGAAGCCTAGGTTATTGATTTCAATTGTATTATACATTTTATATGATCAAAGGCTCCAAGAAGGCAGGTGCCAAAGTGTGGAAGAGAGAATTTCAGAGCACAAAGCCAGGAATAGCTCTTTTGAAGCAAGATGCAAAACAAACACAAATATTATTTGCAACCAAGTAGCCTGTGTAAGTGTGAAGGTCAGGAAACATTTGAAGACGTGTTCTTTCAGCAGTAAAAATGCTCTCAGAAACCAATTTTCAAGTTATTTTTTGGAAGGAATCTGTTGAAAACACACAGCAGGGACAAACACCCCACATTCTGCATGAATCATGGTTTGTACTTTCAGTCTATTCACTGCATGCTGGTAGTGTTTTCAGGCTACTATATTAGAATTGAAACGGCAATATTGATTTAGGAAATAAGATGGTCAAAATGACATTGATAAAAAGATGCATGGCAAATCACTATAGTGTTTTATCTCTGTCAGTGACAACTTCTGTAACAGTGAATAAGAAATTCAAATCCTGGGAAAAAAAAGGTCCTTCAATCCCTCCTACTTGTTTTCTTTTACTGTATTAGATGTTTGATTAATATAATCTCTTTACATGAACACCAGTGATGCTTATCACTCTTCCATTTGAAAAATAAGCTTACTGAATATATTTTGTGATATTTTGTGTTTACACAGTGCTGCAGCTATAGAGCTCAGAAACTTCCAATGAAGTTTTGGAACTGAACTCCTGTTTTGAGGCATGGCACATACAAATGCACTAGCTATGCTTGTCCTTGGCTTAGCTTTCATCACTAACATGGAGATTCAACCATAAATCTGTCTGAAATGGCACAAACACAATGATCAAAGGTTATTAGCTTTTTAAGAACTCAGGAAGTAATCCAGAATTTCCTTTTAGGAATTTATCAGTATCACTGGCCTGTGTCTAATTGGATTTTTAAGCTGCATGCACTCACACCTCAGTCTCTCTGGTTATGATCTAGGCAGACAGCTCTTTACATCTCCACCTTTGGTACTGTGTGTGGCTGCAGTAAGTCAGTCATCCATATATATTACATATATATAAATCGGATCACATCTTGTTATATCAATTCCGGGGCATGAAAAAATACATTAAGGATTCTTGATGCTCATAAGCACAATATAAGTCCATCACAATCAGTTAGAGGTGTTTCTAACATTCTTACTCAAATTGCAGAATTAAGTGGTTTCAGTAATGTTTTGATGAGGCTTGTGTTCTCTTTGCTCTTTTTGGAAGCCCTTTTTTGTACTCCAGCCTTCCCTCTTCCTGCTCCACACAAGCTTTAATTCCTGCAGTTCTGATGGAAGGCAGAGCATCTGTGGCTGTGTGTGATTCAACTGCTGCTCTCTCTGCACTGACCCAAAATAAGGTTTGATGACATGTTGAGAATACCTGATACTCATTTCTGCCTTTTGTGTTTGTTGAAATCATTTTCATTAGTGACCTGAGGGAGACAGACTTAGTTAGATATATTAAATAAAAGCAGTATTAAATCATTCTTATTTGGGGAATAACAATGGAGGTGGTGAAATGTAATTAGTGTTTGACCTAACACTGAAGAATCTTTCTTGCATGTATCCTCTCTAGCCAATATATTGGCTGAGGCTTTGGGCTATTTTTAGAAATGTTGAAGAAGCTTTTCTTTTGCAGTGCCTCTCTTCTGCTGCTTCTGCTGTAATAAAGGATTACACTGCTCTTGCTTTAAAATGCCTTTTGCATTTCCAAGGGTAAAGTTATAGTCCTAACACTAACATATTTCTATTATTAAATTCTTTGAACAGTGAGTAGCAGATTTGTAATTTTTGTGTATTTCAATGAACAGTGACAATTAAGCTGTAAAGTAGCAGAGATAGCAGTGTAAGTTCTCGTGTTTATTTTCATTATAAAAACTGTGTTGTAAAGGAAAATGGGAGGTTAGGATTATGGAGAAAGATCCTATGGTCATCTTTTTCTCATTTGTTTTAAACATTAAACACAAATATTGTATGTAATTTTTTTTTTGTTTTATTACCCTGCTGAGAACCCAGTGCTGTAAATCTAATTAGCATTAACATATATGTAACATTCTGTCTCTACCAGAACTTAGCATCTACATTTTGTTAAATGAATATATATATATATATTCATTTAACATATATATATGTAATTGAAATCATGTTGACTAGGTTATATTTCTGCACACAAATCAGGTACTTTGTGGGATATGGTATGGATTCTTTGAGACTTAATATTCATGAATACTTAAAGTAGATTTTATTAATGACAAAAAACCTTAATTAGTTTGCTGAAGCGGTTAAAGTTCTTTAACCATCATTAAAACTTCTGTTCTCAGTCAACTACATATCAAAACAGTTGAAGTTAGATAATTATTTAAATAGCTGCTAGGAATCTTAATTTTGCAGAAGTGACATAGACAATTACTTTAAAGTTTTGTGTAGATCAAAGAATGAACTATTAAAGACAGTAAGGAAAATAATCATGCTTGTTTCTTTGAAAAAGCTTGTAGCTTTGAATGAGGACATCACAACTTAATTGAAGTACAGGTAAGAAACAGTGAAACGGTGCCTGAACAGCATTTTTAAAGAGGTATTTTTCCATAATCAAAATTCTAAATTTAGAATTGCCTTCATAAACAGTGCCGTTCTGGCTGAAAAAAAAAATAAAAAAATATTCCTAATGCTAAATAAGTGAAGAGAGCACGCTTTTTAGATAAGCTGTAAAGTGCTGTGAGGACAGAAGGGACTTCCTGAGCCACAGTGACATCCCAGAGCTGTGATGTGCCAGTCAGGCTGAACAGAAAACCATCAGAGCTGAGGGATGTCAAGGTGCAGCTGGGGCAGGAATCATGGCCAGACACGAGGTGGAGCAGCCAGGACGCTGGGAATCCTTGGCAAGGGGCATATTCCTGTTAATTTCCTTTCACTGTGCTGAATTCAGCTGGAGACCACAGCAATTGCTTTGTAATTCATGTGTGAGACTTCTGAGATATTCTAAAGCAGAAGGCACACACAATAAGTCTTAAATGATAAAATAGGTGTCAGAGTGAAGCAGATTGCAGGTAACATTATCAAGCCCTCCAGAAGTCAGGCTTGTGCACCTTTATTACTGAATAATCACTAACTTAGCCTATGGAAGATAGCATATCAAAACCATTTGTCATGCTGTTCTGCAAATAAATGATGCAGTGTGCCAGCCACTGTACCCAGGTGTGGCTTCTCTAAACTTATCTATGCAAACTTGCATATCTTAACAGCAAACAGTACTGTTACATATTCAGCAGCTTGCTGAAACTGCCTTATTCCTGGTGGATTTCTTAATTACCATAGTTTAATGCTATTTTAAATTGTATCTCTTGAAAAGAATGAGCAAGGAAAAAATGTAACTAACTTACTAGAATAATTGAAATGGTTTCCCATTAAATAAGATGGTGTTGGCTTGAGTTCATGGTTAGAAGCAGAGTGCAGAATCAGTACTCAACATTTTTGATTCACAGGCATGGGGAAAGGTTGCTTTGCTTATTGAGACTCATAGTTCTGGTAATGGCAAAAGGGGACAATAATGTTGGAACCATTGCTGTAAAAGGGTATTCAGAACATTGTCAGTCCTGGAGGATTTTGATTGTATAATGTCTAAGCAATGTTGTGAAACACACAATATTTGAAGTGCAGACATCAATTAAGTTTTAATTATAACTGGAAATGTTCTTCAAGCTAAGAAAAATATTCCTATCCATCTTCTTCATTAGAAATTGGCCAGAGCCTGGATTGGCATTTGTCTGCTAGTGGGAGGTGGTTTTACTTGCTTGGGTTTTTTCCCCTTCTTTCCTTTACTTATTAAACCATCATTGTCTTGATCCATGAGATTTCTTGCCTTTGCTCTTCCCATACACAGTTCATAATGATTTGCTTTAATTTCAGTCTGTATGCACTGATTGTAATTGTAAATTTTTTTGTTTGTATAACAAAACATTGCAGTATAAATTAATGGCCAGGAAGTACTTGATGCAGTGCCTGTAATTTCCGGTGGTTTAACTTTTTAGGAAGTCTTGCAAATTTTATTTTGATTTTTCTGAGTTAACACTATTTGGAAACTAACTGGAATACAATATTCCTTGAAATTCTTTGTTCCCAATCCACTAACACAGACTGCTTTGGCAATTATTTACCATGTACTTCAGTAGCACTTCCAGCCTATAGTGAACACCCATGGATAATCTGTGTTTTGCAAATTAATCCTATGAATCAGGAGGCATCAGTAAAAATGGGCTGAATACCAAGCAAATAGACTTTTATATAAATTATGTGGTGACTGTTACCAGTATAGGCTAAATAGTTTTCTTCATGAGCATTACTCAGTCAGCCATCAAGATGATTGAATGACTTACTTGAATAACTTACTTTATTTAATAAGAAGTGTCAGTGTGTGTCTCATTTTTTAATTATTAAAAACATTTTTCAGAGAGAATTAGCTCAGTAGATGACCATTAATCCAGTCAGGTGAGCTAAATTATTACTCTCTTCACATTTTGATTCAGGAATATTGAGATTTTGAAAAAAGAAAGTCATTCATTTCAACAAGAAATCCTCCCTCAGATTATCAAGGACTTTCAGGATGTGATCTGGTCTTTCTTCTTAAATTGTGTGTGAAATAAGCCTAGATATGCATCACAGGAACCTGAATTCTTAACTAAGTTTATATCAGATATATCTTCTTAACAGAGATTCTCTTTTGTAGTTCTGTTCTAGTCATAGTACAGATTTGATACCTTCATCTTTAGACTTTGTTACTACCAGAGCTAGTATTGAAATTATTCCAAATTTGATACAATAAACTGCATTGTCTTAAAAATAGGAAGAAGAGTTGCTCTGATTTGAGAAATTTTGGCCTGCTTTCGAGGCGAGTAAACACTGCTTGTAAATCAAATATTCTATCATAATTCTATAGTCATATGTGGATGACCTTTGGAAGTCTCTCTTCCTCCTCTCCACCATTCCAGAAAAGTCTGAAACTTCAATGATTTGTGTTTTCCTTTGCTGTGACATGTCTGGTCTGGAAACCCAAAGCAGCAGCTTCGAGGCATTTGCATGAATTGTGAAGATGATAGACTTACTCTTTCTGCAGTTTTCATATTGGTTAGAATAATCATTGAAATTAAGCTTTACAGACTTATTAAAAAAAAAATATGTCTTGAGCAACTAATATTGGGCCCTTGGAAATAAAATATTGTAGTAAAAGAGACATTTACTGAAAAATACTTAAATCTAGGTTGCCTTGAAAATTACTGATTTCTGGGTGGTTCTAATGCTAAACAAAGAACCACAAGTTATGTTGACAATTACATTAACTTTTCCATGTGTGTGACAATCGTTTCCCCTTTAGCAGGAAATGCTGAGTTTACATGACAGTAGCAATTTCTTTCACCAAATGCGTACATAAATGCACAATTTTTTTCTCCATGATTGTTTCCAGTAGTTTTGGATGATGGCACATGATTTACAATAGGTGAACTATTATATCATATATGATATAATAGTTATATATTATAACATCATATTTCGAGATGAGATATTAGAGTGGAGTTGCAATGTCTCCTGCTACAGAAGACATTCTGTTGCTGACACATCAACAGAATAAGCAGCTTTTTTCAAGAAGTCAAGCCATAACCCTTTTTTTTCACTGGACACACAATCCAGGATATTTCTGTGGCAAACAGGAAATTAATAAAAGGTTATTACTACCCAGAATTCTGTATCTATTGTTTGATGCTGATAATAAGAGAAGTTGAGAGATGGCATAGCCCACTGTTTTTGTTTAAATCTCACTATTACTAATACTATAGACTGACAAGTCACAATATGCATGGATTTCATGAACAAAAGTTATTTTTTTTTTAGTAACTTGCTACTCAGTTTAAGTCACTGTCTGGAACACCTTTTAGATCTTTTTCTGACCTTGAAATAATCCATGCAACTTGCACACAGTGAATATGACCCTGAGGTTAAATTACCTTTAAACTAAATTTTTCATCTGCTTTATTAAAGAAAAAGAAACTATTTCATTTTGTACTGAAGTTAATAAAATAATGAGCTCACTTGGAAAGCCACTTACTTCTCTTAAATGACAGCTTTATCTTTGGACATAAGACACTGATGCTGGTTCACGTCACACCTGCTTTTGCTGGCTGTTATCTTTACAGACAGAGTTACTAGTTCATTTCACATTATTAAATAAGGTTGAGAATAAAGATGAGTTAATCTGCCTTTTTTGCACAGAATAAAATTCAATTTAAATTAGATTTTGATTTTAGTAGGGTGGTAATAAAAATTTTGAGATTCTATGCATGCATGTTGAAATATCTACTGAGTTCTCATTCCCTCATCTTACCGGAATGAGGCGAGTCATTCAGCAGACACCATGTAAAATCAGTAGTGCCAAATTTCAAGTAGAGGTTTCTTTAAAAATACACAGCAAAAACTCCTCATGTATTCTTTCAACATTGGTGCAGAAAAGTATAATTGGGTTGCCAAAATGCTGGTTAAAACTACAATTAGAGATTCATATGATGAATTTAGGAGCTGTAAGTGTATGCAGTATATCTGTGAAATAATGTAAATGGTCTGTAAGTGCACAGCAGAGAACAAAGCCTGAGCCAAAGTGTTTATTGTTTAATGTTCTGAAACTTCTTTTTGTTGAATATCTGCATTATAAATTCAAAACTGCTTTCAATGATACTCCTTAAATATAATTTATCACTGAACAGGGTAGCAATTAGAATGGTAGGAAGAAGCATATGAAAGATAACAAAGATAAACATAATGGATTTAAACTTTTTCAGTGGCAAGTATAAAACTGATGTAACAAAACTTAGTAAAGTCAAAAAAATGTTCTATCATGCTGTTTTTCTCCTCTTCTGTATGTTGCTGTAAATATGGGATGACTCCACAAAAAGCTGGAGGTGGAGAAGGTTCACTGCTCATCTCTTTAGTGCTTTGCCTGGATGGTAATTAAATGACAGAATGCAATAAATAACAAGACAAATGTACACACTGCCACAGAGATGGTTGATAGCATTTATGGTGTGCGAAAATCTGCCACAATTTGTGTGGGTATTGTAGCACCTCTCTACAGGCAAAATGTGGTTGTGGTACTGACATAGGCAGCAGCAGAGCAGGAGCAGAGAGCTCACACTGGAATGGGCAAATGGGCCACAAATCCAGCTGTGGCAGAAGCTGGGCTGCCAGCTGAGGGAGGGACTCGTGAGCTTTGAGGGTTGACTCAAAGGTTGACTGTAGCACTGTTTTCCAGAGCACTTTGAGAGCATACCAGCCTTTCTGACCTTGTGTTTCCTCAGATGAAGAGTGACACTGGTGTTAGGTGGAATGTTTCTATCTAAAATTGATTGTTCTAAGGATTAAGATAGTTTTAAATGGGAGATGAATTCCATGAAGTACAGCTCCTGCTGTAATGATAGAACTGAGACTGGAAGCAGCAGAGAAAGGTGACCCTAGGATCTGTGTCCCTGTAGTTCAACTCAGCAGGAGAGCACCAAAAATGTGCTCTGGAGCCACAGCCAGCACTGCTGTGTGAATGCTCTGTGGAAGGGCAGACCCTGGGAATTTGGAAATCCCACTCATTTCATGTGGCTCCCCTGCTATGAGACTGCAAAGTCAGAGAATCTGTTATGTGCTGTGTATAATGTTCATGCTCTGTGTTCTGTATAAAAGTCAAATTTCACTTGTATGAATATATTTTTAATAGACTTATACATGTCATATTTTCATATTCATATTTTCACACTTCATTTTTCAGTCTCCCTCTATTAGTTTTATCTCAGAAGGAGAAAAAAAGATCCAAACATAAAACCTGGGATTTTCAGTCACTAAGTGTGAGGGAATTGATGACAGTCTGCCTAAAGTGGGCATGCAATGCTTTGTCCTTTTGTACAGTAGAAAGTGGGACATAATGACACATCATTTGAGATTTTGTAATGTCTTAGGGGTTTGTAATATTTCTGTTGTTAGTTTGTAGTTTTGGGGTTTTTTTAAAGAAAAGAGGAGAAAACTAAAACCCAGGAATATACCCTTTCCTAGATGTAATAACAGGAAAGTGCTAGAGACTTGGAATAAAGACCTGCTTTCAAAAATAAAGTGATACATTATGAAAGAAAAATGATTGTAAGAGCTGCAAAAATTACAATTGAGTTTTTAACAGCCAAAATTCTGTTTCAGGACACAAACAAAGCATGGGAGGTAGACAGCAGTATACCCTAATATTCATAGAAATAAAAATCCTGAAGCAAGGGTAGATGGGATGTGTAGAAAGAATAAGGACCATGTACTCAGGAAGAATCAAGCATTCAAGCATTACAAGACATGACATGGAAACATATGTTCCATTCCTAGAGACCAGTTATAAACAGAGAACAAATGAAGAGTGTCATTTTCAATCCACATAAATATGCCTCAAACTAGAGATTCCAACATGAAGTTTCAATTCTCTTGTGCATACTCTAAATCCCTTTCTCTTAGTTTTGTTCATTGTTTTAATGTGAAATTCCCACCATTTTTGATAATATCACTGTTACAGATAGAGCTGCAAAGTGAATCCTGTGCAATAAACTTGAGGCATTTATGTTGTAGTATGGAATAGTCACCTTTGAAATACATATTGAGCTCTTTGGAAAACATACAGATCTCTGAATTTTTAAATAAAGAAGGAATTTTAGACCAGCCAGGGAAGGTAAATTTCTCATGTTTGTTATGCCTGGTCCTGAATAAAGCTGAATGTGATTTCAGTTCTCTGTTCCAGGAGTGCAATTCTCATTCTGTGTTATTCCAGTGCATTACATGGAAAAGGACAAATATCTTTTGAAATGAATGCTGCATCTTAAATCACTGACAAATTTTCAAGGTATTTGATCATTAATTTTTTTTTTGCTTTCTCTGTTCCTTATTTTCAGACACAATCAATGCAGTGGACATATGTAATCAATGGACTTCCTCCACAGACTGTACCACCTACAATGGCAGCAAAAGTAGTTTGCACCAGCAGCTACATGGGATCATCCACAGTCCGACAGCGCAATTTTATACGTGAAAATCTGAAACTTATAACCACTGGGGCGTCCTCACCAATCAAAGGAGCACCTTTGGTCCTTAGGAATAAACAGAGAATGTTATAATCTGTTAGTTTTTTGGTGAGAGAACAAATAAATTGTGCAGATAAAAAGAAAATATGGTTTGTTAAAGTTTTTTAAGCAGATGTGGCATGCATGGATTGCATTTCTGTATGGAAGATTCAGAGCACCTGAACTCTATTAACACTCATGTTTTTTTATAAGGATTTTGGATGCTTAACTATTTATGTCATACAGATGTCAGCAATTTCAGAGAAAAAACTTGGAGTTTAAAAAAAAAATAGATCTGAATATTGGGTTACTCAAACTAATGATTTGCTTTCTAAAGGATGTTGGTTTAATAAGGCTGTAATAGGAAGCTTCAGTAAACACTCCATGTGATGTTCATGCAAACCAAGCAAGAAAAAAAAACAATCCCTCTTCTCTTCCACAATAAAATCCTTACCTTTTCTTGCTTTGGCAAATTTCATTAATTAGGACATCTTTGCTATGTATAAAATAACAATCTTGATTTATTCATCCCATAACATTTCTTTTTTTTTATGTTTTTTAGAATAAACAAATCAGAGGTGCTAGTGTGTTTTTATTTCCATTCTTTAGATGGGAATTCAGGCTCTGCTCTTGATAAAATGTGAAAAATTAGATCTATGCAGACCTGCTTTGTAAGATCATTGGATGGGTAACTCCTGACTTCTTTCTTCATTGATATTATTTTTCCTGATTTTACAAACAGAACATAAATTGTATTTATGCCTTTATTTTGATGGCAAAATGTACTTTGAAAAAAAGATGGCTTGGCATAGATTAAGTGCCTTCTTGGCTCCAGTACAGAATGAGCATCACTGCTCAGGAATGGGGAGCCTGAGCACAACCTATGTAGGTCAGTGCAAATGAGCACCAATAAAACCCTTTTACTGCAATGTGCTTGAGAATTTTGTTTATGCCACACATTTTTAGAGAAGCTATTACAGAAAACGTTGGGAACACATAAAACAGCAATGGTACTGTTTAATACCTCGTTCTAAATGCAGGGTGTCCCATTTTGGTCAGAAAGCAGGTAATCTGAAGTGAGAATAAAATCAGCTTTATAAATTCAGTGCACAATGATGGAAAGATGCTGTCTATACTGATATCTCTAGAAGACATTGAGAAAGAAGCTGTTGCAATATTTATTTTAAATGCTACTGAGACCACAAATGGAGCTGGATTTCATAGGAAGGCTCTATCTGCATATATAAATGAAAAAGTGTTTCTCTGCCCATAAGAAATCAGAATTTATGGATCAGCAATGGTTTCACAACTAATGATCAGTGTACAGGAAATATTTCATTGACAACATCTTTTTGTAAAAGCTTTTTTATCCTTGTTTCACTCCTTTAAAGTTATGCTTTCCTATTTAAAATTGCACTTTTTTTGCAAGATGCACAAAATTTTGTAATTCTCCCAGATATGGATTAGCAGGTGGCATAGAGGTGAATCACTTAAAAATTACATGGTGCTCACTCCAGAAATTTTATGCCAAATTTGCTTGCCTGCACTTGCTGCTATATGTACTAGATTTCAAATTCTGTCATACATCTAAACATCCATGGGAAAATGTACAATAAAATACTACCAGAGGGGTGTTTTCAAAGGAACCATTTCTATTATCTATTTTAAAAGGGATGAATGCATAATCTGTGCTTACAGGACAAAATTATGTGGGTTTTTTCAATGTGTACAAGGTCATTCTGAGCTATGCAATATATGCCATTGTCAGCTAAATTTGGACAATATAAAAATGTATTTTTCTAATTTCTTATAGTTTAAACAGAACTAAACATATTTCTTCTGATATTGAGAATACACATGCAAAGATGATTTAAAGAAAGAACATTTTAGCTGTGTGGTTGTAACATACAACAGTGTTTTACAGAATATCTGCATGCATTTATGGATTACAGTGACTATATAAACTGTTAAAAATATATTCATTTTTGCTTCTTAGTTTGATAATTTGCACTTCCATCACTGAGGTGACTGTATTACTTGTAATGCAAGGACTAATTCCAAGTATATCTCTTAAAAAACAGTTTCTAAGCAGCAGCATTGGAAAGTTTCCAGAATAATAACTTGTAGTCATTACTTGCTTCCTCCTTTTTACTAGAATTACTGAGCCATTTTGAAAATAGTAGTGTTTCAACTCTGACATGGGAAAAGATTTCAAAATGCTGGGGGTTTTTAGTTAAAGATTTCACTTCAAAGTTTTTGTACCCACCATTAAATGTGAGCTTCAGAAGAGCTGGGCAAGTTGCTCACCATCACACTGCACCCTAAAAATGTAAAATGCAGAGGAATTCAGCTGCTGGAGACAGAGCTAAACACAATTGTTGCAGTCAGGGCTCTCACAATGATTTCTGTGCCCTCATGCCACTATCAGAACAGCCACTATCAGAATGTGGTAGGAAAAAACCCCAAAACTTTGTCTTTCCACATTAGAATACCCATCAGGATCCCTTTCTTCTGGAAAGGATGAAAAAATGAGTTTTTCCCTTCACATTAATTTGCGTAGGCATAGCAGAATCTCAGGGAAATGAGGAGGTACTGGTTATTACTGTAAGTAATAGCTCCTAATTTCTCAATGCTAGTATCTATTAGTGATCTCAAATTACTTCTACTGACCCCAGTTATATGTTTTGATTTACAGAAATTCCTAATTCATAAAACAAGAAGTTTTTCAAAGCCAATATGACATTTATGGCCAAATGTTTTAATCATAGTGTTACATAGCACAAATGAGTCAGCTGTGCAGTGCTTGTTAGTGGCTTAGCAGAAATGCTGATTGTCTAACCAGTGTAACCACCATGTGTTTATTTATATTTCTTCCTCCCTTCTCTCTCTATGCTTCACTGTAATGATCCCTCTATCAGAGTAATTAAAACAAGGACTAAAACCTTATGAGGCAACATTATTGTGTAACACAGAACTTGTTACTTTGGGAATGAGGTCTACATTTGAATTTGTTAAAATACAGTGGAGCTTTTGCAGGTGTTGAGCTCCTGGTTTTATGTGACACATCCAGTCGTGGGGACAATCTGCCCTGGGGGGCTGCAGGATTGTACAGTCAGAGCAATGGCTACAAAGCAATCTGATTGTTGGATGTTTGGCTGAGCTTTATTTGGCACAATGCTCTCAGGAGAATGACACAACCTGGAGATGTCATTAGGACGCCTGCCATTAGCAGCTCAGCCTGGAGAGGGTTTTGCACAGATTTCAGTGATGCTTGTCCTGCTCATGTCTGGCTCACCGTGGTATCAATGACACTCGAAGGATGTTTTATACCTGATCTCTCTCACAAGATACAAAAAGGTTTGGAAGTATCAAACCTGCCCATCAAAAATAATAGGAGCCAAACATTAATTCCTGTGCCAGTGCAGGTTTTGTCTGAGTCAGGAGAATGGGGAGATAAAGGCTGCTGTAAGTACAGGAGGTAATCATGATCAGGTAAAGAGCCCACAGGGGCACGGTGCCCTATCCATTCCTGCCCCAAGGAAAGGGATTCTTTCGATGCAGCTCTTTGGGACTGAAGCCAGACTAGCAGAGGACAAAATGCTGAACCAACAATGCTCTTACTTTGGTGAAATACCACAGCAGCAGCCAAATCTGAGCATGCACTTTATTCCTCTTTTATCACTAATCCAAACTACCAGAAGAAATAGAAAGTTCTGACTCACCCTGCACATAGCAAACATTGGGGGAAAAAATGTTTGTATATTAATAGATATTCCTAGGAGGAAGGCTTAATATTTAGAACAAGAGAGAAAAATCCTGGCTTTGCCTTACTATTTATTTGCTTGTGAGGCATTTCATAATTTTATTTCTCCCTGCAGTGACTGCTCATTCTAAAATAAATGACTGAGCAGTGCTTTACTGCTGACACAGATCACACTTTGTTGCTAATGGAATGTTAACTGCTTTTTAAGTAACTCTGAATAAACCTACTGATCCATAGAAGATTCATCTAAAAAGGAATCCAATTCATCTACCAGCTTTTCTGCTTCCACTGTCATCAAACATATTTTTCTGCAGTTTACTGCAGTTATTGTAATATTGGTAGTGTCAGATTTCCTGTAGTAGGATATTTTAGATTTTGAGACCATGACATGATGGAAGTGTGGTGAAATCCTGGCAGGAATTGATGCCAAGGTCACTGCACAGAAATTTGTCTAAAAATCACTGCTTGGTGGCTAGGGAAATAAAGAGGTGGGGCAAGGATAATCTTTGACCTTTTATCTCCCTCATTATTCCATTATTAACATCCTTTCTGCAAAGTACCCATCTTTTCCTGGTAAAAAAATTAAATACAACTGTCAGTGGAAAGCCTGGCAACTCACTGCTCATGCCACCTTGGTAGTACACAGCAGGTGCCAACAAACCAGTCTGGCACAAGTCTTAAGTGACAAAATCAGAGAAGGCTAAGGCAACAAAGTAAAATCCTTCCACTTATTATATGGATGGTGTTGATGTTCATCAGATGAGATCCAATTTACCAATCTGTACAAAAATCAAAGGCCCAGTTTTCCCATTCACTGAAACATATCCAGGGCACCTTTGCTGTAGCCCACAGACCTGATATGGTCAGTCTGGGGTGGGAAGACTGGTTGTGTCCAGACTCCACATCTCCTTCAGTGCTCACTGTTTTCATATATATATAACACTGAAGTGCAAAATATACATTGTAAATCAATGAAACCTGCAAATGTCATTCAAAAAGAAACCAAACAAAAAAAAAAACCCAACAACTCAAAAAAAACAAAACCCAAACAAAGAAAAGCCCCCCAAAACAAAAAACAAAACAAACCCAAAAGACATAATAAACAGTTCCTTCCACTCATACACCCACAAGCTTCTCTAAAAGAAGCACCTCAGAAGACAGGTTTGAATTTTGAAGAAACTAGCCTATTCAAAGAAAGGTCCCTGATGATCAGTTAATAGACAGACTCCATGGTGAGGTGTGAAACTTCCACATTCTTTGATGAGTGTAGAATGCATTTTTCTAGCTTTTAGGTTTAAGTATCATAGAAGAGTTTGGGTTGGAAGGGTCATTTAATGATCATGTAGTCCAAACCCCCTTCGATGAACAGGGACATCTTCAACTAGATCAGTTTGTTCACAGCCCCGTTCAACCTGACCTTGAATGTTTCCAGACACAGTCATCTGCCACCTCTCTGGACAGCCTGTTCTGGTGTTTCACCACCCTCTTTGTAAAAGATTTCTTCCCGTCTAAATTTCTTTTAATTGAAAACCATTGCCCTTTGTCTTATTGCAACAGGCCCTAATAAAATGTCTGTCCCTATCTTTGATGTAAGTGCCCTTTAAGTACTGAAAGGCTTCAATAAGGTCTCCCTGGAGCCTTTTCCATGTGGAACAACCCCAGTTCCTCAACCTTTCTCTACCTGAGAAATGTTTCATTCCTCTCACTGTTTTCGTGGCCCTCCTCCAAACTCACACCAACAGGTCTGTGTCTCCTGGGAAATCCAGAGTGGGATAATCAACCAATTCCCCCATAAATATCATGGCTGATACCTGGGATAGAGCATTTAGTGTTCTGGGGACTCCTGTCAACAATCTGAAACATTTTTGATTGTTTAATATCAGTGGGGAAAACAAACCCAAAACCACAATGTCAACAAAGGGTACTGCCAGCACCCTAACTCCATCTAGGAACAGCTCTCTGCAGTGTGTGGTATATTACAGAGTTAAAAAACATATTTATAAAGGAAGAATAAAATAGTGATTGTTCTTATTCCTTGAAATGTAAAATAAATGTGTATTTGCAAAACTCTGCAGCTGGAGAGTCAAGCTGGATGTGCAGGCAGTCAGGTGTATGCTTCTGAATTCAGAGCATCCATGTGAGTATTGGGTTAAATATGTGGTAAATATGTGAGCAGCACTGACTCAGCAGCCTTGCATTGCTCCTGGCATGAACTGTTACACGCAAATGTAAAACTTTTGGCTTTAAAATGCTTTTCTGAGCCATGTGGTTAGCATGAAATAGTACTTCTTTTCCATTTATCACCATCTTATTTCTGTCCTAATATTTGCTATTTAAACAAATAAGTAAACAAACAAAAATTAAAGGGGGAAAAAAAAAGCCAACACCAAACCAAAAACAAGGCTACCCTGCCTGGGTCTGAGCCTTCCTGTGCTCAGCTACCAGTTATTCATTTTGAAGCAGTTCCTATTGAACCTGAATCTAAATTACACAGAGATAGTGTGAAGGGGAGACAGAGACAAGCAAGCTCACAGCTACAAAATTAAATCCTCATGGTAAATCTTATTATATAGATCTTATATTTAATAGGTGAAATCTTATTATATAGAAATATTGTCTAAGGAAACTTCCTTTCTGTTAGATAACCGTATCTACACACAGTGTCTGTGATCACTGCCCCATGAGGAATTAATTGTTAGATGACATGTTGCTGTACTGAAACACAAATCAGCTGCAGAAACACTGGATTAGCTCATTTAAAAAAATGTCATTAATTAGGGGTTCAACATCTGAAAGGGTTGTTTGGTCATTTTCAGGTCACAGAAGTCAAAGTGTCCACGCTCCATGGTGGGAGGTGGCTGGAATTAGGAATCCCCATGCTCCTCCCTTGGACCATGAGGACAAAAAGCTGCGCTGAAGCTGCCTGGAGTTCCCTCCCCCTCTCTCCCCTTGTGCTGTGAGGCTTCAGCTGCCAAGATCAGCTGCAGTGCTGAAGCCAGAGCTGTGCTGCTGTAAATAAGAGGGAACAGCTGGGGGATATTGCCACTGGGGGTCCCATGGCTTTAAATATAATCAATTCATGGTCTGATATAATCCTTATCTTAACCTTCAGAGGAGGCTGCAAATTATCTCTGTACCTTTCCCCAGGTTTGTATTAAAAGGAATAAATTACAAAGAGGAGATTTGCATTTAGCTTGCTCATGATAGCTGATATGAATTGTGATGTTGCTCTTGAAAGACTTTTCCCATCATCTAGTGCACTGAGAATGATGACTGGGTGCAGTTCCTATCACTTTTCAAAATGTAAAAGAAAATAAGTTACCCGGTTATTAACAGAGAGGATCAACAACCAAACCAGATAGGTAAATTACTGATGCCTGAATTAATGAATTAAAAGCATCATGAAGAAGAAAAAAATGAATGAATGTAATGGCCTCACTAGAATAATTTGGGAAGAGAAAGTTTGTAAGTGAGGAATAGTTCCACCTTAAAGAAAGTAGGACAAGTCAGCTGGCACAGAAAACTGACAAGGTTATGGGGGATTATTTAAACTAGAAACAGGAGGAAAAGATTGAGCAGGTGTTGAGGAGCACTTGAGCCAGTCACAGACATCTGCCAGGACTGTCAACCCTATGACAGTATCTCTGTCACAATGGAGGAAGTATGAAAAATTATGGTAAAACTAGGGGAAGGAACAGTGTTCATCCCAGCAGTCCACCAAGGAAAATCAGCCAAAGAAATTGTCCAACAATAAAAAGATATAAATACCAAACATTTAAAATAGAACTGATAGAAAGAAACAAAATAAAGACTGTATCACCAAGGAGCAGTGCCTTGAGAGGATTGTTGTAATTCTGGCTGTAAAGTAGAGAAGACAGATTATTCCTTAATTGCAGTGCAATGCCATGGCAGTTCCATAAAAATAGATTGAGAGAGTGTTTGGCAGGGAGGAGGCCAGTGAGGAGAGCCAGGAAGGATGAGGGTGCAAGAACCAATGGCTCCCAAAAGGGAAAACACAGTAACAGTGTGACACCAGCAGACACTGGCTCAGAAGAAACCACATTGCATTCACAATATTGAAGAGATGCAATTAAAAGAGCAAATGCTCCCCCTTCCCATTAAATCAAACACATCTGTATCTGATGCACTTCTATCAATGTCTCTGATGGGCTCTAGACAATCAGTGCTAAGAAGAAATCAGTAAAAAAACCCAAACAAACAAAAAAATCCAAACCAAACAAAAAAAATTCCACTGGATTTGGTTAATTTGCAGTAAGTATACAACATAATTTAAGCCCATATCAGGATAAATGTAGCAAGGCCATATCTTGCCACACTGTATAGCTATGTCTATGAAAAGTAGTCCAAGACCAGTGAAAATATACCTTTTTAATATAATATTAATGCAACATTAAAAAAAACCCAACAAATCCCTGGTGTTGAACTTGTGAGCAGATAATGATCATCATTTAAATAAGTGAAAAAAGAGAAATCTCCACTCTGCAATATTTGGTAAAACCTGAAGAAGCCACAGAGTTTCTCCCCAGAAAACCACCACACTACTGCCACAAATACCTCCTTCCATCCCTCACTCTTCTCCCTTATCACACAAATATCACATCTAGACATTAGAATGTAAATACACCAGCTCTGACATTTGGCTTTGCCTCTTCCCAAGGCAGAAGCATGTCTTTGAGGCAGATGCACAGGGAAATTCAAAGTTAACCAACAGTTTCCAATCTCACCCAAAGTCACGCCTGTCCCACCAGAAGTGCTGGTGTGGGGTGGTGAGGTCACACAGCCCCAGCTTTGGGCTGGAAGAATACAAGCAGCTGTTGATGAAGGGTTGATGACTGGATGATGAAGAGTTTGACCTTCCCTGGGAAAAACATTCAGGATTATAAATTTGGGAACCCAGTAGCAGTTGCAATCCAAAATGAAAGAACTCCAAAACATCTGGCATTGATTATGTGGCTTCCAGTTAGTTACTCTAGCAACTAATTAATGTGCCTAGTGGAGATGATCATCAGCTGTGGGTGCCAGAGAAGTCAGCATGCCCAGAGTCTTCTTGTAGTAGTTTCTGCTTGAGGGGAGGTGCAGATCACAGTTATGGCTTCACACTAGAGGAAGGGAATGAAACCACCCTGGAGTTTGTCAGAATTCAGCACCCAGATTTCTGTAGGATTTGATGAGTGATTCACTTTTTCAGTGTCACATAAGAAAAAATAACACCATATCTTCATGTAATTTAATTATTAAAGAAATTATCCTGAATAGCAGATAGAAAACTATTGACATGAAGAGTAGAGAGATCCCCTTTGCAAGTGCTTAAATTTATTCTCACCAAGTGCTTAATATTCTGACATTTATCTCCAAAGAATGCAACACTTACTAATATATTTATTCTCATTACAAGGTCAAACGATGCAAAACAAGCATTTCAGCTTTGGAAAAGTGATAATTACATTTTGCTTGTTGGTAAAACACCTTTGGTGATACAGCCTATTATGTTTTAAGAATGGGCCTGAGCTACACCTGACTTTTGCTGCTGGGAAAAGCACTGGACCACCCTGCTGATCAGCTCTTCTGGGCAAGCTAGATATGCTTCCAAGCTTCTAAAATATAATTGTTCAGCTAGCAAACTAACCAGTAACATAGAAAAAAGACAGGTCTGAGTAGTGAGACTTGACAAGTCTGAATAGTGAGACTTAACAGGTCTCTGCCGACTTTTCCCCTCACAATCCCTGAACAATTTCTATTTTGAAAGGACAGAAATTTTAAATTAAGAAAGCAAAACTAAACTAGCCTTCTGAAGAAGGAAAAAAGTGGAAGAGTTCTGAGAACAGGGAGGCAGAAAAGGGTTCTGCACACGTGGCTCCCTCCTACAAAACCCCAGTGGGACAACACAGGCAGCTGTGGAGTAATTTGCCACATGTACAAGCTGGGCTGAAACTGCTGAGCTCAAGGGACTGACCAACACCTGACTGCAGATGGGAAAATGGGTTCTTTTAGGACCTGTTAAAACTGGAGTTCAGGGGACAGAAAGAACTGCTATCCTTCATTTATGAAGTAACTGTAAAAAAACTTTATTTTATGCAGTGTAACCATTTCTCTGGGTAAAGGGTTTTCACACTAGAGGCACACCTGGCTGAGGAGAGCTCATGGGTAATCACAGAATCATTTAGGTTGGAATCATTAACCCTGCACTGCCAAGTCCACCATTAAACCATGTCCCCAAGTGCCACATCTTTGAAATACCTCTGGGGATGGGAAATCAACTGCCCAGCTGCAGCCTGTTGGAATACTTGACCACCCTTTTGCTGAGGAAATTTTCCCAAATATCTAATCTGAGCCTTCCTTGGCATAACTCAAGAAGTGAAATCATGACATGGCAAATGCTGATTTGAGAGTTTTTTTGGCTGGGCAATGTGGAGTGAGTCCTTGGGGATGGGAGTTCTGGCTGAAACAGGGAGTACCTGATATCCTCTCTCCTGTTGTCTCCAGGAAAATTGGGTTTCCTGTCACAGATGCCCTTTTCATCATCAGTTTCTCCTTATCAGAGAAAAACTTGCAAGCCCCTGTGTTTCAGTTAACTGCCTGATTGTGAAGGAGATAAATGGGGTAGAGCTGGAAGCTTTTCCCCTTCAGTCCTTGTTAAGTGGCAGCTACAAGTGAAGCAGAGGAAGAACTGCTGTGAGGATCCCTTTGGGCATCAAGGCAGGCATGTGGGAAGCTGGTAAAAATGACACAGTTCCTATGACTTGACAACATGTCTGACTTATGGCCTCACACTTGTTTATTGCCTACAGACTGGGAGTCCTTGGGAGTGCAGGATCAGTCTTGTTTTTTCTCCAAGCAGTGGCTTGACAGCTACAGGCTGAGATTAGGCTCTGGAGGAATCAACATGTAAACACTGGGAGATTAATGACCAATGAATTACAGCCATATGGACAGGAAATTATTTTTTTTTTTGGTGATTGAAATCCTGTGGACATTTGTGAGAGGAAGCAGCCACCAAGTGCTTGTCACTTTGCACCATGCAGCTGTATTTCAGTGGCAGATGGGGCACTCTGCACTGGTAATTTAACACCAGCTGAGGCCCTCATCTTTCTGGCACCTCTTTGCATGAGTCTTTATTCAGAGTTGAACAAGGATCATGGACACTGCGGCTTTCAGAGTTCAAGACAAAGATGTACTCTGAAGTGCACCCAAAACTCCTAAATTTTAAGCCATGGTGGCCATTCCAATTTTAATAGCAGAGCAGCTGCTCCATATGCTCTCTTGCTGTAACAAGAAATGATATAGTTAAGTGTTCATGAGGGCAGCTGATCATAATACACTGGTGAGGAGAGGTTTCTAACAGGGTGTATGTGTCATGGAGATAATTGGGTGTCTGGGACCATTCCCTTCCCAGAGAAGCCACAGGGAGTCATCTCTAAGCTCTGAGAAAAGCATCTTTTCTCTGCATTTGGTACTTCTCCTAATTAATGAGAAATAGAAATAGCTCAAGTTTCACCTTATAGGTCTTCCATAAGGATGAGTAAGATACAGGAAGAACTCTTTTTTGAGATTATTACAACAAGCCAGTGAATAAAATAATGATTGATGTTTAATTACTGAAATGCCTTAACACTTAAACCTCTCTAGTTTTGTACACAGCCCATGAGACAGCCAGAATATACAAATTTAGTGAGCACTCCCTGCAGTGCTGCAAGAATTTTGGGTATCAGAGCTCCATGTTTTGGGATAACTTGGCCACTGGCTGCTGTCTGCTATGGGCTGTCCTCTCCAAAGTCCAGGAGACACCCTGCCAGCAGATCAGCATTCCTGTAAAGGCAGATGGGCACAGGCCAGGAAGGGAGACATTTTGGTACCTCACTCTGACAGCCAACCTGAGACAAGTTCTCCACACCTCTGAGCTGGACCCCTAAACAGCAAAGGCATGCACATGCAAATGGTGGCCACTTAGCCCAGCTCTTAAATAGCCATGGCATAAAATCACAAGGAGAAGTAAAAACTGTTTTGATCTCTGGACTAGAGAAATGTGCTTCCCTGCTCTGTGCTGAAAGGTTTCTGAGGGGGCAGACCTCTGCCTTGCTAGCTGCTTGCTTGGCCACAATGTCACAGATGTTTTGGGTGAGATGGATTTTTTTTTACAGGTATCTCTGAAATGCTGACCATCTTCACAGCCCAGCAGGGCCTGCTTTTGCTTCTGCCTTTTAAGCAGCAGAAATGAATCCATCTCCCAAAGGAGCAGGGTGGGTGGGTTTGCATGGAAGGAGGAGAGCCCTGCTAAGCCAGTCCCACCTCCTGGCTGACATGACAGAAGTCATGGGCCGAGCAGAGCTGCTGGTCCCAGGAGAGCTGTCACAAGCCAGGAGCAGATCTGTGTTCATGGAGCTAAACATGCCCTGCCTGCAGGCTGAGGGGGATGCTGCTGCTTTCCTTCTGAGCCCAAATACCCACGGTCAGACCAAAGACCCACTCTGCCTGGGGACTCAGGGCCTTTTTTCTGAGCCATTTCTGCCTGCTGCAGGATGGGATTGCAATGCCAGGCTCTCATTTGTGGATGTTGTGCTGTGGGTGGGTACCCACATTCCCTACAAAGCCAGAAGCCAGGGCTGGTGCCAGGCTGGCTCTGCTCCAGTGGGGATGGGGTGGGCTGGGGGTTTAGAGAAGCTGGTGCAGAGTCAGTGTGAGCCAAACTGCTGCAGAGTAAATTAGAGAGCAATGAGCCACAAAGGCAGTGCATGTGCAGAGCTGCAGGCTTGGGAAGTGACCTGCCCACTCCATCCCTGCATCCTGCTCTTAAATTACAAACTTGAGCTCAACAACAGCTGTACCTTTCTCTGAACAGGCACAGGCTGACTTTTTCACCTCAGGCAGTTCAGGAACAGTGAAAATGAAAAGATATAGATAAAGTACTGTTAAAAACACAGAATAGCTACTCCTGGCATTTTTATAGCGCTTTTTATCCAAGAATGTGTGCGGCACAATTAAGATCACAGGTTCAAACACCCCATTTTGCAGCAGCTGCAATTGGAGTCAATCACAGAGACACCCTAGTTGCTCATACCAAGTTTTTTCTGCTGTCTGCTGTCTCTGTTGAAGGCTGGTTTGAGCCACACTTCAAAATATTTATGTTATTCTTACTGTGTAAATAAACAGCTTGAAACTCTCGCTGCAAGACCCTTCACTAGCATCGGCATTCATGAAAGAACAAACAAAACACAGACAGAGCTCAGTCCTTGGCCCATCAGCATGCTGAGCAGGCCATCCATCAGATATGCCTGTGCACTGCAGTCATTACTCAATGAGCAAAAGCATTTACAGAAAAATCCATGACACCCAGCCCTATGGCACTGACAGTACTGCAGGGTTTAGCACCTCCTGTGCTGCACATCTCATTTAGAAGTGAAGTGTTTCAGTGGCAGTGGTGGGACAGTGGTGGGTGACATCCCTGTTCCTTGGGGAAGACAGACTGTGCTCCAGAGGCCACTTCAGAAATCCACAAGTGTCCCTTCTAAGGAGTGCATAAAACAACTGTGGATATCTCAGTGATGAAAGGGTCCCATTCACACAAATACTCAATTTGAAGTTGTGATAAAGTGAGACTTGAGTTGTCTCTCCAGAATTGTATCTGAGTGTAGGAACAAAGCCCCCAGCCTGCTCCTGTGTGAGCTCCTGCCCATGGCTCGCAGCAGAACAGCTCCGGCAGCTGCCTCCCCTTCCCCACACAGCACCCCTGACTCGGCTTCTCCCAAAGCCTCCTGCTGTTTTCTCACTCATGCCCAACACTGGCAGATTAACTGACAGCCTGCTGCTATTTTTACCTTGTAGCTTCTTTACTCAGCTGTCTCAATCAGCTGCTGCTTAGATTTTCCTCTCTCTGCCTGCAGAACAGCAGGCTGG